GCTCAAAAAGATGGTTCTGAAACCGCATGACAACTGAATTTCACCCTTCCATTCATGCATAATATGGCTTCCCTGCGTCGAACTTCAGTCATATCTTGCTTATTGCATATCTATGTATCTATGTACTCATATCACATTAAGTCGCTCATTAAGTAGCACTTATGATTTGTGATGTCATGCGGGCCCTTTCGATGAATATACAAAAGTATTAGTAAAGATATTTATTCATGTATGCATGTGTGACCTCAGCTAAGCCTAATACTGGGTTCAACGTGACACTACTACTACTAGTAGTAGTTGATGCAACATCCCCTCTAAGAAGACGAGTTCATACTATAGAATGACTATCGTCATAGTACATACATATATGAAATATATATATATATTGTGGGCCTGCAGTTGCATCATGGACATCGGTGCCTTACTTTGCGTCCTTATGGGATGTTTAGTACTAGTATTGATTGAATGTTGTGTATAATGATGGGATGGTTGAGTAGGAAATTGGATATTTCTTTGATTATTAATATTATTTTTTCCTGTGAAACTACTAGGATGCCTGATTAGTACGCTGTACGGGATGTAGGCGTGTATTGATGAGGTATGGGTCGTACAGAATATATTTATTTGCATATCATGTGATTTCATTTCTGAATTTTGCAACAAACATCCTAACTAGGTATATCCACAAGAAGTTATATACAGAGCTGAGTGGATGGTAGTATGTCTATTTGTGTTCGGTTTGACAATATAGAGAGGCAAGTGTGGGGAGGGACTGGGTGACTACTTGTCCACAGGCGTCGAATGAGAGAACGTAGAGTGTTATCCGTTGGGATACTTGGAACATGCTTGTGTTGTGACAAAGAGAAATCAGGAAATAGCATTGCTAAGGATATCGATGCGTTTGCTGCTACAGATTCTGGGCGGGACAGGTATGTTGAATAAGAGAAGACAACGGTACGAAAGAAAGTAGAGAAAAACTGGACAAAGAGGAAGAAAACAAAAGATCAGCATAACAGAGGTAGAAAGAAAACAGCTCAAAGAAAGAGGGAATCCAATGAGGGCATCAATCATAACACGTACTTCAAGTGTCATCACTTTCCTGGCTCCAAGCTCGGAACAATCACAGGCCCATACTTGACCACAGCGCCAAATGTCCCATCGCCCTGCACCATATAGTCCACCGCAAGGTTCAACTTCCCACTTCCTTGGCCTGGATGGCCGTACATCGTGTTGACGACATCCGGATCGTAGGCAACAATAGCAACATAGTTTCGACGACCAATCAGCTTCCGGTGTTCACGAGGCTGTCCGGTAACATCAGACTGGAACAGCTCCAGCATGTCTTCCTTAGTATCGGTAGGCTTCGAGGGAGTCGAGCGCTGACCGTTAGCTGGGACATATAGGGGTTTGTTGCTACCATGGAGAAGCTTGATGACATATGACGGTGGAGGGTTGTTAACCACTGGTGACGATATGAGTTGATACATGGTTTTATGGTTGGAGGGGAAAGACGGATCATGCACGAGTCCAGCACCACAGGCGTTGACGGCGCCCGAAAGGAAAGTCATGCGGAGCGACTTTTGATGGGCAATGCCCTGGAGGGTGCGAATAAGATAGGTTCGCTCGAGATCCTATCCATGCGGTTAGTCCTGCGGCTGTGATTGTGCACCGATAGTAAATATAGCATGAGGTTACACGTACCTTGGACTCATGGGTCCACTGATCACGCAACTCATCTAAAAGGTCAAGTTCACCGAAAGGGCTGAGGATTCCGCCCATCAGACCGGTTTTGCCCACAGCCCGTTTGACCGAGTCGAACCCTGACCCAACCATGCCCTTGGCTCCGACTACACCGGCCACAGAGCTAGTGACTTTTCCAAGGGCATTATATGCCCCCGTGACTGCCCTCTTCCCCGTAGCGACGGTGTGTGCGATGTGTTCAGCGGTCTCCAGGCGCGGGTAGATAATTGGCACTGAAAGCATCCACAAGCAATGCTGCACGGTTGGGGGTAACATGGCAACCTTGGGGAAGATCCCCTGATACGTGGGTCCAGCAATAACCTGGTGAGGATTGCGCTCTGAGCGACAGTCGAGGCCGACGGCAACAACAGCGGGCCCCAGGTATTTGACAAAATGCCAACCAGTGCCGGTGATGGTGAACAGATCGACGTCGCTCTGAGAATTACGGAGCAGATCCAGTGTGGTATGGTGCTGGAACAACAGATACATCTCTATGCCTACTCGTCCAATATTCTTGAACATGTTGGAAAACTGCATGTGCTCTGGGTAGGAACCAAATCCGTCGAAGCTAGCTTCATTAGCATGGGCTCCTGTCGTGTGGGCAAGGCACAGACTTACATATCATGATCATCGATCTGACAAACATAAGGGATCTGAGCAAAGGCTTCTCTAAGATAGGGCTGATCAAAATGGCTCGTATAATAGTGAAAGTAAGCATGAGAGACGTCCTCTTCGTGGGCAGTTGTCCATGGCGTCTTCTTCCGGATTTCCTTCCCACTGAGTGCAAGCCATTGTTTGAGGCATGGAACCTCCTTCCACATCCGATCGGCGTAGATCTGGCCTCCTAGACACAGCTGGGTATGGAATCCTCCAATCTCATTATGCTTCTGCATGATGTCTTTCCACATGAATCCTACACCACCGAGGCGAGATCTCTCGTTGGCATTCACATTCATAGAGAAATCGTTTCCCGAAGTGGTGATGAAGCGCCAACCAGTCTCGTATCGTCCCGCAACTAGAAATTCGTAGCGTGTGCAACCAAGATGTGAGGTGATAGCGTAAGTCCATTTGGCAGGTCCGGCCTCTTCCATACGTAAATCTATTTCGTACCTGTAGAAGGTCCATCGCTGATGAACCGCAATTGGCATGGCTTTAAGCTGACGTGGATTCGGAGACAGATCGACACTCTGGTGAATATGAATGGTGGGAGGCTGTGCGGCATCTGTCACCAAGAGAATGGAGCCTAGCCAGATGCCACGCTCTACGTCCATGTTTGTGTAGCGGAGATAGGGGCCAAAATAGACCCCATTTGTAGGAGCAACCTTGTACATATCGATCCCACTGATTGGAGGGGGCCCCGTAGTGAATCCTGACACAATTGGGGACTGTAAACTCTCAAATCCTGGAGTCAAGGGAAGACCAGGAGATGCCAAGGGTTTACCGAATGTTGATAAAGCGGGCGATGCCAGAGGATGGCTGCTATATACGCTGCCTACCGGGGATAGCGGGGTGTCGTTGAGATTCAGAGGAGTCGGACCCTTGGGGAACTCCCACTGTGTGGACTGAGTCGGGAGGTGGATATAGTAGTATTGACCCGAATTGGGATCGAGATGAGCGATCCAACCTTCTGGTAGCGGTGGAGGTGAGGATGGTGCCACAGATGGCGTTGGTAGATTGCTAACGATGGTCTGCTGCACGATCGCATGATTCCCATTCTGAACTGGAGTTTGAGCGACATTCGGAGGAGAGTATCTCGACTCTTGTGGCTGCGGTTGCATCTGAGGTGGGGGTGACTGCTTCTGCTGCGGCTGCGGCTGCGGCTGCTGTTGCTGCCTTGATTCATTTGCAAATGCTGGGTGATCATGGGCCGACACGAACGGACCAGTGCCCATTGCAGCACCGTTTGCATCATTGGCTTCTTTGGCACCGTTTGCCGGTCCAGCGGTCGCGGGGTGCCCAGTTGACGAACTGGGCTGACTCGTCGATACTGGAGCACGCTGCTTCTCATTCGGATAACCCTGCGATACTACGGGTCCTGGGACACTCGAGTAGGCCGGAGGAGGGGAGGAGCTTATGCGCATTCTTTCCAGATCTTGTTCTAGTGCATTCGGAGGAATCCTGGTGGGTTGAGACGCTGGCTGGGGCTGCACTGACGCCCCTGCAGGCATAGGAGGCGTGGAACTTGTCGGAGGGTTACCTTCGGAAACGACCTCAGCACCTTGATAGACAGTGGGTGGCCCGTGTGGCTGGCTTCCTGGCTGCTCCGTCGGGGTCCATGGCCTTGGGACCGGTGGAGTTGGCTGTTGAATTCTGGGCTGCTGGCCGGCATATTGCTCAGCTCTTCTCTGGGCAGCAGCACTCTGAGACTGAAGTCCTGCTAATGTCGATGTTCCCGCAATTCCCGAGGCGGCATACCGCGCCTCGATATCAGACGTCGCATGCTGCCCTGGCTCAACCACCGGGGTTTCTGGAGGCGGCGGAGAGCCGCGTTGAGCACGAGTCGTCGAGTTTGACGCCGTTGAGCTTATTCGGTTGATAGCATTGTTTGGCGGTTGTAGATTGTGTGCTGCTGCCGGTTTGTTTGAAGCTTGAGGAGGTGGATAGTACTGCTGACGGTGGTCTGGGTACCCGGCCGACTGGGACTGAATGTTTGGGGCTGGAGCTGGGGCTGGAGCTGCCAGGCCCGGCATGCGCTGATGAAGTCGCGAAAATAGTCCTTCGCGGTCCGGAGAGTCCCCTGCGGGGGATTCGGGCAAGGGTTTCGGGACATTGCCTCGTCGCTCAGCTAGAGTGGCCTGCTTGGGCTCACGCAGCCGCAGAGAAGCCATATAATCGGAAGTCTGAGATATGCCGGAGCCAGCCGACATATTGCTGGGAACCGTGGGGGAGTCTCCCAGAGCAGCTCCACCGTGAGATACTGGACTAGAGCCACTCGAACCTGAGCCACGAACATGCTGGGGTCTCTGTCTATCGTCGGGATAGGGCAGAGGGGCGCTATGCGCCGACGCGGGGGAAGGGGTTTCTCGCTTGCCAATGCGCAGCGGTTCAATGACGGGCGAATCGGCCTGCGGTTGCCCCGATGCAGTATTCAGGAAGAGCTCCTCCTGGGAGCGAAAACCCTGACGGCTTGCGCTGGGACGACTCATGCTGTCCTAGGTCTTTGCTGAATAGATTGGAGATCAGTAGAACGGAAGATAGCTAGAGAGAGATGTAAAGATTAGCCTTCTCGAACGAGCAAGAGCGCCCATCCAAGAACGAATGAATGCGACCAGACGAAAAGACGAGGGAAAGTAGAAGGAAGAGAGAAGGGAAAAGGAACAGGAGATAGAGAGGGAAATGCGGGGGAAGGGACAAACGGACTGGAAGTCACTGGTTCTAGTAAGAGAGATGCCGTGTGCCCGGGGGTATCAACGACTGTCGCTCATTCTTCGTCGTTCTTGAAGCCAACCAAAGGACCAACTTGCAATGCAGAGAGAAAGGAGAGAAAGAGGAACAAGGAAGGAAAGAAAGAAAGCAGGAGGCAGCGAGATTCCTCTTGGGCAAAGCTGGTGGCTCGACAGATTAGCCGCCGAGGGGGATGCTGGCGGGCGCATCATTGGCTCAACGCAAAGGCCCCAACGGTGCATGAGGGGCAGCTCTCCGCGAATAATCAGTCGGAAATGGTTGATCTCCTCCTTCACGGGGCTGCAGGTTTGGCCTTCCCTGGACCATGCGATGCCCCAGGGTTGCATGTGGCTGCTACTAGCACCAGGTCTGGCTGTGTGTCGCTTTTCCAACTGCCGGTGGGGACCCTGAGATATACTTAGTAGTCAGTACTTAGTAGTTAGTATCTAGACGGTTTGTCTCTCCCCGAGCATCGGGATCGGCCCGCCGCGGTACCTTAATAATAAACAACTAAGTAACATAGTCCGGATGTGGATCAACGTGCCCACGATGATGAAAAGCATGGGTCGTAATCCCCATCTGGTCATGGTTGGTTTATTATTATTATCATCCTGACTTCGTTCACTTCGTTAAGTCCTATCAAAAATGCTAAAAAAAGGCGCTGGCGTATACGGGCCCCGTCTATATCCGCAATCCAAACCAACTCGAAAAAAAAATTATATATATCCCAAGCTGAGAGTAATCATGCCCAAATCCTACAACTCCAGCTCCAAAGTCCCCCGAGAGAACTCGCAAACTTATGCCGAAATGAATCAACCGTAGTTGACTAAAGGTCGCCCATGCTCGGCCAGCACCTCCGCCCATTCGACCTCCAGCGCATGGCCTCCACGCTGAGAATGCTGGATTTGCCGTTCAAAAAATACCTGCAACATCTGACATGTTGTAGCCGAATTATACCCAATTTCGCCCTCCTCTAGGTTGGATAGTAGCTCCAAGGCCATCATTTTCAGCCCACTTGTTGGAGCCACAGCGCCCGCCAGGAATATGGGAAAGGCAATGAATCGCCGGTCTCCTGCTCGCCCCTTCTCCACGATCCCCGATACGATCTGTAAGATTCGCATCGCGTGGTGGTGAATCTCCTCGTCTGAGGCAGCCCCAGACTCCAATCGCTGTCCTGCCCAGAGACTGGTCGAGGAGAAGAGCAGGCTGGTGTGATACAGAATAGCAAGCTAGATGGTACAGCCGTTAACACCACGCGCCCGGGTGAAGCGAAGAGGACTGACTAACCGGCTGCAACAGACTCTGCGACTGTTCTGAAAGACTAATTTGATTCTGGTACAAGTACCCAACCTCCTGCTGGCCCCATAGCCTTATGAGCACATCACGTACTTCCCTTAGTTCCTGTCGCCGCGAGCCCAAGTAGTTGTTTAGGTAAGACTCTTTGGCATCCCGCGTCTCAACGGCGAGGAGTCCGATTCGGATGGCTAATGTAAAGGTGTCGTAATATAATCGCAGGATCAGAGGTAAGCTGTTATCAGCGTGTGGATATTCCGAGTCACTGGGCCTAACTGCACAACACAGCGACTGCAAGTCTAGTAGCAGCTGATTGTCGAGAACGGCGCGGACAAACTCCCCCGTGCCTGCACCGCTGAACAGCGCATATAGATCCACGTGGCATACCCACCAAGCGATGCAAGGGAATCGTTCAGCCCCCGGAATTGATTGCCGCAGCAAGGCCAAATGAAGCAGCCGAGAGACGTGATGTGACCAGAGGTTTGAACCACCGGGGTTGGCGGCCACAACCTAGCGAATTCAGCGCTAAACCCACGTGATTTGTACGCAACGCCTTAGGCGCGAGCATGAGGAGGAAAGGGATGGTCCGAAAGACTCACCTCATAAACAAGCATCAGAAAATGTGTCAGATACAGAGCATCGGACAAGAGGTCTTCATTGCAGAGACTACCATGGGAAAGAGCGGCAACCCGATCGTAGTAATATGAGGCATCGATGTGATGGCCACCCCCGTGGCGAACCAGACTGAGAGCGGATAGAGCCATCATTGTATGGTATAGCTAGAAAATTTAGAGATTAGATTTCAGACAAATTTATCCGACACCCAAAATGGCAAGTATTACGCACAGGAGGGAAGTTTGACGCCTCACGTTCAAACACAGTCGCATCCAGACCATTGATGTTGAGAAGGCCAGTGCATGGAAGGAGCTGGAAACACACGAACTGACGAAAATGTTCGAGAAGAAGCATTTGCGAATAACTGGGTTCGGCGCTTTCCTGCATATGCTGTACACCGGTAGCCGGATAGTCCGGGATCAATTCCGATACCGAAGGTGCAGATAATGAGAAGCTTCCCTGGTCTGATTCAGGTGATTGAGAGGTACTTCTTCTGTCTGGGTACAAGTGTCTTCGTGCAGACTTGAAGCTCTTCAATACAACGACATTTGGTCCATGGACCCAATTGTCATCTTCGATCGGGGGATTACTGCCACTAGCGTTTTCGAGCAGAGCATCGTTCCCAGAGTCTTGTTCAGAGTCCGCGTCTGCATACTCAGGCAGTCGAGAGAAACTCTCTGGGATGGCTATCACATGGTAAGTTCCAGGTACCGCTGCTTGCGCCTTTCTCTCACGCTCTTCATCTGATGTGAGTGTCGCGAAGGGCGGGAGTAAGTCGCATGTAGCTGGAGGCACGCTAATTTTCCGCGAAGTGACTGTCGCTGAGACGAAAAACCATGAATTTATTAGACACAATCCAAGGGTAAAAGAGGGTTACGGCTGCTCACGGTCCCAAACCACGTTTCCCGCGGTCCTAACATCCGGCATGCGCTCCCTTACGCGACGGGTATCATCTCGAAAGCACAATCGTGGTTGGTAGTCACAGACATGGCCCAGACGAGCACATTGCTGGATCGGATCAGGTCAGCATGGAACAGCGCAGCGCTCACATTGGCTCTGGATGAAGCACATTACACTGAGGGTGAACTTCGTCGCACTTGACTGGATTGCGCGTTAGTGAGTATATCGTCGCATTGGAGCAGGCAGAAGAAAAAGCCCTTGCAGAGGTGTGACTGTCTCTTCGGGAAACCCAAGCACTCACCTTTGCGGCTCTACTTCCAAACAAGGCAAAACAAGTTAGCATCTCGCTGTACGGAACGTCGGATATCACGGCATTTGCTTCTGACACGGGAGGATGGGCTCACTCTACACGTCCTAGGAGGGTAAGATGACATTAGAGATACCCACAGAACGGGAAATTAAGGCTTTTTCCGCGCCAGCGGACATACCAGCAACCAGTTCGGGAACGGGGTGGGAAGCGCAGTCGGTGCTGGCGGACCGAAACCTTCTTGGGCGTCGGAGGGTCCAAGCCGGCGCTGGGGCTCACCAGACAACTCTTGGGGGCAATGATAGGCAATCTTAGAGGCTGCTTCCTGGAAGACCGACCAGAACGGGTTGTCATCGATATACTGCCGGCTGCCATGGAAGAAGTCGCTTTTAGGGCTAACGCTGGGAATGACGCATCAACAAGAGATGTCTGGATGGTGACGGGAGCGTAGGCACCCATACTCTATAGGCTTCCTAGGCTATATAATGTGTGGAGTCTATGGGAGATTGAGAAAGAAGACAGAGCAACTGAGTGCATCAAAAGGAAGAAGAAAGTATAAGAAAAAAGAGGTTGAAAAATAAGTGGAGGGAGGATGCCAGTCGGGTGACTATAGATGAAGAGAAACAACCATGTTCGGTAAGTCAAGAGGCAAATGGGCTGGGGGCCACGGATGAAGATAAACGAAATCGGAAGTAGTGTCGTTTATGCATCCTTAAAAGGGATTATCTATAGGGTGGAGCGAATAATGGAGGCTGAAAAAAACAATGGGGGGGAAAAAGGAAAAAAAAAAAAGTCTAAAGAGAAAGAAGAGAAGGGGGAAAAACGGGAACGAAAGATAGGAGTGGGAATCTGGAGTCTGGAGTCTGCAGAGCTGTCCAGAAAAGTAGTAGTTCGTGAGGAGGGCGAGAGAAAGGGAAAGATAGGATCAGGTACAAGACGGAGCTGATGCAGAAACGCCATGGAAAAAAAAAAAAAATAAAATAAAAATAAGAATAAAATTAAAATGGAATAAAAGAGGCGTTCTCAAGATCATCAGCCAGCCCTGTCCACAGTGGCGGTTCCGATGGGATTAGACAGGGTGAAAGGCGAACTGCGAACAGGCGAATGGAGAGGCAGCAGCCCAACTGCCACCTTGACGCGAATGGCGTGTTTGTCTGTGGGTGATCCCAGGGAGAACTGAGGTAAAAGGGAGAGGGGAAACAACCCCCGGGATGGATGTGGTTAGGCCCGTATCTTAGGCGAAGAGACTTGGTTCCAATGAAGGCCCTAGGATACAGAATCTACTAAGTACTAAGGAAGTAGTACTCGACTATCCTAGACCATGGATTGCAGATGCCAACCATGTGGCAGCGAGGGTTGAAGGAAAGAAGATTTGAAATAAAGCCCGCCGGGGCCGAGAGAAGAGGACCAGACCAGTCATGCTAGCCAGAGCAAAGTTGCTACCAAGGATGCTGATGGGACGATGCTTTTTCTTCCTCAACTTTGAGGGTCAACATCTCCTTCCTGGCATCCAATTAGGTCCAGGAACCTTTCAAGTGGAGTAGTACTAACCATGATCTACTTCATGACACACATGTCTCGCAGCTTGTCTTCTGTTTACGATTAATTGATTGATTGATCGATACGTTCCCTCCGTGAGCACTGGGCAGGCTATAGTCGCGACCTGAATATAGACCAGGGCCCACGGTTCAGGCTGGATTTTGGGGGAGGGGAAAGGCGTCAGGTGAGTTCGGCCACGCCGATATATACGGGGGGCCGTGAACGAGTCATGATGGCTCTGTCTCATCTGGTCAGGTTTGGGTCGGTATCGGACGATGCATCCACTTTGAGATTCGCGAAGCCACGATGGGTGCAAGCTCCGGACTGGACTTGGAACATTTCTAACCCAATCCTTGGTAGGTTCACGTCTTATTTTTCGGGGCCGAGCCACGCTGGGTGGCTGCCAGAAGGATGCTAGCCAGACAAGTGGATGTATCTATATTCAAATAGTGGCAGTTGAGAAAAGTGGGAAGAGCTGAAAGCGCATCCACCCAACCTTACCAACCTTAATGGCGGGGGAGTAAGTAGTTAGTAGTAAGGACTTACTAACTACTTTGTAGATAGTTCCCCTGGCTTGGTCCTGATCCGTCGGATGGATGGATGGACGGCTTTCAATGCCGGCTAGGAAGTTACTACTACTTCCTAGTAACTTACATTACGCGATGAGAAGGCGTACGGGCCACGTAACAACCGGCGTATGCTCGGTCTACATACAGCAGATATTACCATGAATTACCAAGATGCGTCTGTACCA